AAAGAGTGGGTAAATGTGTGCACAGTGCTGTCACGAAGACTGAGTTCTACATGACTGCACATGCACTGTGTGGTCCTTTATGTTACATGCTGTTGCAGCCTTTCAGAATAGAAGCTCATTCAGCATCAGCATCTTTTAATCAATGTGTGTTTCCATATGGTTACACCTTGATCAGATATTCTTGGAATTGTTGTTGAGATATAAGTAACTCAGAGATTTGGCCTATGTTTATAGTCAAGAAAGCATAGCAGAACGGAGAGGATTTCCAGAAGATCTTGGGGATGGAAGGTAGGCACAGTCTGCAACACAGCTAGAATAGCAGAGCCAAGTTCCAACATACGCTCCTTCTCCAGGTAGTCAGTACTCCTCTCTAAATGTGTCAGTTTGTACCAGGTTCTGCATTTGAGAAAATACGCCATGGAATAGTTAAGCAATTTGAAAAGGAGTGTAAGTGGGCTGGATTATCTTAGTCCATTTAGCCAGCATTACTGAAGGCCTTTACAATGATTGCTTGTTGAAAGGGGAGAATAATCTGACTGCTTGGCCCCTAAGAAAGTACCCTATATTCCATGAGGGAGACTAAAATAGTTATTGATAGGAAGATCATGTAAGTTTTTGTTTGAACCAAGACACATTTAAGAGTGAAAGAGGGATTTATTAATAACTAAGAGTAATAGGCATATACTGTAACTAGTATGAGCAAATCAGGATATCTTTTAACTCTAGCTTGTGTGCCCTCATTAGATTAAAGGTTGTAGTCTTCTTAAGGAAGACTACAATTTTTACCTGAAATAAGCTGAAAGTAAAATATCCTCAGAACAGAGCCATTCAGAACAGAGAGCCGTACACAGTGCCTTGAAGAAGCATAGCTTTGTCAAGCAAACCTAGGCTGTTGGAAAAGTCATGATATATTTTTTTCTATGCAAAAATGCATCTTGACTTTTCTGACAACCCAATAGATTGTTATGTTAGTACCCAAGTGGGTGATGTGTCTTCAGGAACAATGAACTTCACAGAGACAAAGTCAGTTTTAAAATTCATTTTTATTTGAAATCCTCTTATGCACTTTAAGCATATGAATTATGCCAGAAAAAGTAGTTAAAACTGAATAATAAATTCAGTTGATTCAGTTTAACTTTCTTTTGTGTACTCCTACTAAATATTAATGTTCTTGATAATCCATGTCTTAAAGATAAAGTACTCAATAGGATTAGATAATGGGGAGTAGAAATAAATGCAAAGTAATGACTTAAGCTTAGCAAAGCAAAGATTATGTCACATGGATAAGACTTTATCATTTAGGAAATTAAAGGGGGAAGGAGCGCCCAAGACTAATAGATAATAATGAGTTTTAGAATAAGGTAGAGAATTTATTACATAGCATAAATTATAGAAAAATCAAGACTATGCCTCCACTCTCAGAGAAAAAGACATAAGAGCAGATTTATGATGACACTTGCATGCTGGTTTCATATATTGAAGAGAGGCTAGGTAATTATCATAATCACTAATGTTCACTTGGTAAACCTTTCCTGCACAGTACTATAAATAGTGTTCTGATTTCTAGATATAAGATGATATAGTGTGATACAGTAAAAAAGACCATAGATTTGGGAATAGTATTATTTGTGGTTTTGTCATTTTGTTGGTTCTATGTTTTGGAGCAAGTCACTTAACCAATTGAGCCTCAGTTTCTTAATTCATGCAATGGAAATAACCACCTTGTAGTAGCATTGGGAGAACTAGAAAATATATACACAGGCAGAGTGACCAGCACAGAGTGTACCCTTGGATAAATGACAGCTATTTAAGTGATTTTTTGTTTCTAACTGTCCTTGCCTGCAGAGTTTCACAGACTAAGGAAGGAAAGTCAGCTGAGTGCTACAGTACATGAGTGACAGTAGTTCAGAAGGGGATTGTTCCCAGTGAGTCTCGGGCTTTCTGAAAAGGACTCATTGAAAGAAGGTAGACTTGAGCAGACTCTCAAAGATAGGGAGAGACTCTGGAGTATTCATTAGGTAGGAAGAATGAAGGTAGCAAAAGTAAGAAAGTACATGGTGTGTTTTGAAAGGGTTTTTGCAAGGAAGTAGTAGGTGAGAAAGTTACAACAGTATTTTGGGAACACATTGTGAGGGGCTTTTAATGACTGTCTATAAAGTTTGGACTTAACTTCATAGCACCAACGGAAGTGGCAAATTGCTATAAGGAAACTTTTAAAAAGAATTTAGTTTTAGCTGTGGAATATAAGACAGTGTCTGGGAGGAAGGCGCAGGCTCTGATAGGTCAGTACAGTCCTCCCCACTCACTGGTGAAGGCCCCTCCTCTCTCCAGGAAGATCATGAGAGCGTGTCTTTGTAGCAGGCTAACTTGGGCAGACACGGATCTTCTGAATCGGTGCTGCTCACTGGGCTGAGAGGCAGGCAGGCAGTGTACCCTTCCATCTGAAGACAGAGAGGAGGGCCAGACACTAGGCAAGCGATGTAGATTGCAGGGTTATCACAAAGAGGACATAAGAGAAGCCAAAGGGGATAAATGAGAAGTCTGCAGAAGTGAACAAAAACAAGAAATAACTCTGATACTTCTACAATTAGGAGATAGAAAATGATACCAATAAGTAAAACAGAAAGAACACCAGGGATTTGCAGTGGATCATTCTGCTTATTAGTTTTCTTTCTCTAGGTGTGCTGAGTAATTAGAAACCTGAACGTTGATAAGGTCACCTGGATTGAGAGCCTCCACCCAATGGAAAGGGAAAGGAATGGAGAAGTGTATTTTGCTAGAGGAGGTCACACTAACACAGCTAATCCTGCATGTGGACTCAGGAAAGAGCAGAGAGAAGCAGAAATGTGGTTGATAGGCTGGGGAAATACAAACAGGACTGTGTAGACTGGGATGAGGGCAGAGGGCAAACATGATGGGAATTGGGTAGGAACTGGTAAAAATGAGGGAAGTAATATTCAGACATGGGAATAAGCAATGGATTAGCTCTTACGAACCATCTCAGCACTGCTGTCCAAGAAGAAAGGCAGAAATTAAGTCTGGAGAAAGTTTCTAAACTTCTGCCTGTCCGTTTTCACTGCTAGCTGAGCTATCCTTTCCTACAAGCACAAAAGCCAGGTTGGTGGTACTGCACCTGCAGGCTGGAATGAGGCCAGCCACCTAGTCTCCTGCCTCCTATAGTTGATATCAATTCAGAGAATGCAAAGTACGCTTAGCCTGTATCAGAAAGCATTAAGGAAATAAACTCCTCGGATGTATTCATACTAATTTCTTTAATATATTATCTTCTTTATCCATATTTTAAGATTATTTGGTAATGAGAATAAACTCCTGAAGAATACAGCTGTTTTTATAATATTTTGTCAGACACCTATCTCTCATATAGCTCACATAAACAATTATGTAGATGCCAATACTATAGTCATTTGGTATATGCTATTTAATCACTTACATAAATAAAAAATGATAAATGTACATTTATGTTTGTAATACTAAATTCTGATTGGGTTTAAGTAAATTATCTATTATTGGAAATTTAAAAAAAGGAAAATAAAAAGGAAAGGAGAGGCTAGAATTGCTTGCCTGAGAGACCATTTCTTGATCAGAGGGTCAGGACTTTCAGCTCCACCCCCACCTCCAAGGAAGAGCACTGGAGACTGAGCCAGTCACACCAGTGGCCAGCGACTTAATCATGCCCACAGAATAGAGCTCCTTAGATAAAACTCTCAAACCACAGGGTTTGGTGAGCTGTGGGGTTGGTGAACATGTGAGGACCCTGGAGGGTGGCACCCAGGGAGTGCAGGGAAGTTCTGTGCTCCCTCCCCCATACGTTGCCCTACACTTCTCTTCCCTTTGGCTCTTTCTTTATAATAAACTGTTAAACATAAAAATAAGTAAATAAATAAACTGCATATGTAAAATCTCTTACTGTAAATGTTGTGGGGATTATGTGTTGAACCAGATTATGAGTAAGGAATGATGTAAGAGGTTACTTTTTAGCATTATTATCCTACCAAATTTATTCCTTCTTCTGAAATCTTTTTCAACTAATTATCAATGTTAAAATGATTGCACTGTTACCTGAGATTTGTATTATATGCAGTTTTCTTAAAATATGTTTACTTGGTCCGTAAAATGGGACTATAGCAATAACCTCTTTTGAAAACTTAATGATGAACTATTTTATGGTTAGATATGAAAAGGCAATTTAACTAATTTTTGAACTAATTAAGTGAAAAGTTATACGTAACTCCAGTCTTTCTACCGGAGAAACTGAAATGTCCTTAAAATCCAGAGTGATGCCAATATTAGGTTGTTGGGAAAGTTATAATGGATTTTTCTGTTTTTCTATACAAAAATGCATTATGACTTTCCAGACAACCCTATAGAAATAAAGGAATAAGGCAGGAGTTAGGATCCTGAAAGATTAGTTAGTAAAAATGTATGATGTTCTTTTTTTTAAGATGTGCTTTTACAACAATAATGTATTAATCATCATGACAAAATGGATCAGTCATTTAAAGCTCTTTAACTTTTCTGCATCTTTCCACTCACGCCTCACTCCACCCCCTCCCATACCACACCTGGGTTGTTCCCACGGACCTCTCTCTCCTCCCCTCGTGCCCAGTCCCTCTTTCATGCCACTTCCTTGCAGAAGACGCACCAGAGCGCCCTGCAGGTACAGCAGAAAGCTGAGGCACTGCTCCAAGCTGGCCACTATGATGCCGATGCCATCCGGGACTGTGCTGAGAAGGTGGCCCTCCACTGGCAGCAGCTCATGCTGAAAATGGAAGACCGGCTAAAACTAGTCAATGCCTCTGTGGCCTTTTATAAAACTTCTGAACAGGTGAGAGAAAGGGCTGTGGGACGTGTGGGGCTGCAGTTGACAGACAGCTATTTCTTGCTTCCCTCTGCAAATCTGCAGTACCCTCTTCAGCAAGAAGTCAGTCCTCTCAGTATTGAACTTTGAGAGTAGAAGAATGATTTGTGGAAATACTACAGTTGGTTTCCCTCTTATCCTTCCCATTAGAGTCATGGACCACATGATTTGTTTTCCATGCATTTCACAAGCTCATCAGATCTTATACGGAGGTGTTGTAATAGAAATTGGGCATATGTGGAATTCTAAATTTAAGTAGTGTATCAGTCAGCTATTTCCAAAATAATGCTGTATAACAAAGTACCCCAGAACTCAATGGTATAAAGCAATGAGTTAGGTTAGTTTTGTTTTGTTTTGTAATTTTATTTTTCACTTGAGTTTCTGGATTCAGTTTATCTCAGCTCAGCTAGGTAGAACTAGGTTCCAAGCTACAGAATGGGTATAAATTTTCTCCCATGCCTTTCCTCGACTAATACTTGAGGGGCATTTTGTAGCAAAAGGCAGAAGTGCAGGAGCCCAAAATATACTGTGAAAGAACATCTCAAGTCTTTGCTTGTGTTACATTTTCTAATATCCCACTGGTCAAAACAAGTGAACAGCAATGAGGCAGCAATGCCTTCTATGAAGACTGGAGAGGAGAACAAATGTTTGCTAAAAAAATCACCTAACCTACCACAACTAGCATTATGTACTACTTGAAAAACATATGGCTTTCTCATTTATGGGGTTCCCAGTCTAATGGAGGAAACAGCTCTCTCCCCCCTCCATCTTTCCTTCCTCCCTCCCTCCCTCCCTTCATTACATGTAATTTATAAATTAGACACAGTAAGAGATCAACAGCAATACCTACTAATAAAATAGAACGGTTTTAACAATATCCTATAATTACAAGTTATTTGAATGTGGTCTTCCCCTACCCCTTTCTTCTAAATTCCAAACTGTGGTTAGCTGTGGGTGAAACCACAGATAAGCTACCATGTGTTACCATTACATCTATATAGCAGTATGTACAAGAACTGTGTGTTCCAAGAGAATTTATTAAATTATTTGGGTGTTGTTAAGGAATTATTTTCATGAAATACAGGCTTAAAGCAAAAATTCATCATAAAATAATTTCCTCACTTGAATTGCTCAGTAGTAGAAATAGGTCAGAGAAACGTTCCCCTCTGCTGACTTACATGGACCGTGAGAAAGTCTGCCTTGGAACAAATGTAACATGCCCATTAGAGGTCCCTGCAACTGGCACAAGAGTCCTCACACCTTCTCTCAGTGCTTCTTTCTGTCGTTTCAGAGAGATAATGGCTTTGATGGCCACAGAATGGGAGCAATAAACTAAGATGGCAAGGACTTTCCCCAGTTGATCTATAGATTCAAAACAACCCCAATAAAATCCCAGCAAGATTTTCCATAGAAATTGATAGGCTGATTCTAATATTTTTTAATATCAAAATAAAATACAAATGCAAAGAATGCAAATCCAAAGAATCTAGAATAGCCAAAACAGTCCTGAAAAGGAAGAACAAAGTTGGAGGAGTTAACTACCTGATTTTTAAAGACTTACTGTAAAGACAGAATGTTGATATAAGAATGACACAATGGAACAGAATAAAGGTTGCATTTTAGACCCACATATATATGGTCAGTTAATTTTTGACAAAGCTGTTTAATGAGCAAATGAAAGTCTTTTCAAAAAAGGTGCTGAATGACAGAATATCTATATAGGAAAAAAAATGAAGCTGAATCCCTGTCTAATGTTATATACAAGTTTAAATTGGGGGTGGATCAAGGTGGTACAGAAGACAGAGCATTGAATTAAGGGTCAGGAAATTTGATCCAGATCTGATCTTGCAAAGGGTTGACATCTCTGGATTTTTGTTTCTTCCTCTGTTAAGTAAAAGGATTTCTATTTAATAATCCTTTCATTTTTTCCTGATTCCAAAATTGATTGACTCTAAGTCTGGCCCTATCCTAGGGTAAACTTCAAGTACTCTTTTCTTAGTTTTAGCATGTTGGGGCCAGCAGGTGGTGTAGTGGTTAAGGTGCTGGACTCCCACATGGCTGACCATGGTACAAGTCCTGGACCTGACAGCTTGACACTCTGGGTGTATGTGCATAAATGCCCAAAATCCCAGGGGGAGAATGGAAGAGAAAGGATTGCAGTATGGCCATCTTCCCTCAGGGGTGATTTCATCCTTTCTGTCTCTCTGTCTCTCTCTGTCTTTTTGGTGAGTGCACACATCCTATACCAAAAATCTCTCTCTACAAAAGTTTTTTTTTTAAGTTTTTGCATGTTCGTAATGTGCTCTATCTCAATTCATGAGGCTGCCTGCACATTTTCATGCCTTACATAAAGAGAGGTATGATGTTAGAGAACAGGACTGGAGAAGTCACCTAGAGTTTAGGGACAAACTTTCTTAAGATACAAGAAGCATGTCTGACGGTGTTCTATATAAGACGCCTTTCAGCTCATCATAACTCAATTTACTTTCTACACAAAGACACACATCCTTCATCAAAGCGTATGACTTCTGAGGCCAAGGAGAGTTATAGGGGCCTTCCCCTGCTGCCATATCTAAGCAAGTAATCAGTCCATCAGAGAAAGAGAGTACAAGTTTCTATTTTCTGCATCTTCCACCTAGGCCCTGATACTAGGCTGCTTTGGGTCTCCTATAGGACCCTACTAATTTTCCCCCCAGACCTCCTTCAAAATTATTGTGCTCTCTTCTGAGTCCACTTACATGGTCAATCAGCATAGCCTCTCAAAATTTTTAGAAAAGAACACCTTCTTAACTATCTTTTAGGTTAACCCCAACTTGTTATTCCTGTGAAGAAGATGTGCATTTTGTAATAGTGGGCAAGATGTTATTGTCTTATGATAGGTCTTTGAGACTTTTTTTTTTTTCAGGATAAGGGAAAGATGACATTCATTTATGGCCCATAAGACACACAACATTACCTCTGCTTGATACTACTTCCTATGGGACAACTATAGATGGTTAGGCAAGTCACGTATCTCCTCCAGACCTCATTTCCTGTTCTACATGATTCACAGAGTTATCATGAATCTATAACAATATATGTGTACATAAAATACTTTGAACCAGGGCCAGCAGATGGCATAAAAGTTACATTGTTGAACTCCCATGTAGTCGACCACAGTTCAAGTCTCCAACCCAGTGGCTTAAAACTCAAGCTGGGTGCATGTTCATACATGCCCAAAATCCCTAGAGGAGAATGAAAGTGATTTCATTCCCTGGAAGTGATTTCTCACTTTGTCTTTCTGTCTCTCTAGCGAGCACAAGTGTCCTATAGCAAAAATCTCTCTCTAAAAAAAATCAAATTAAAATTAAAAAATACTTTGAAACCAAAAATGACTACTTTTTCCTTTCTTACTCTAGATGCTATTCCTATGTGATGTTATCAACCCCCATAGTTTTAGCCTTCAGCCATCCACTGTAAGAAGATGATTCTAAAATGTTTATCGGCAGTTGTAATCTATCCTTGGATCTTCAGACAGGATTCTCACCATCTCCTGAACTTCTCTTAGATGTCCCAAACTGAGCTTTCAGTGGCAAATATCATTTGTGTAGGGTTCTGTAGATTGATGGCTCTCCAAGAATACTTCCTGACTGATAAATTTACTGAGTCTTTTCCTCCATGCTGTATCAGGTGTGCAGTGTCCTGGAGAGTTTAGAGCAAGAATACCGGAGAGATGAGGACTGGTGTGGTGGACGAGATAAACTGGGGCCTGCTGCAGAGATTGACCACGTTATTCCACTCATCAGCAAACATCTGGAACAGAAGGAGGCCTTCCTTAAGGTCAGATCGTGCTGTCATGCAAGGGTTCAGACTCGAGCCTTATTTATTCATTTTTTCTCTCTGTCTCTTTCACACCCTGCTTCATATAGGCCTCCTATCTCCCTTTTTTCTCTAGCCTCTTACCTGAAGGGTGAGGAATTACAAAGTAAATGTTGGTAAAAGGTCAAAAGGCTAAATTTCAAATGTTTATTTCTCTTCTAGCAGTTTTTATATATTAGGTCATTGGGAAAGTTCTGACATATTTTTCTATGGAAAAATGCATCATAACTTTCTTAACAACCCAATAATTAGGAAATTAGGACACTATTGCCTAATTACTACTGCTACAATGTTCAAATATCCTAATACCTTGGATATTGTTAAATGAACAAAAAAAATACATGATTTCACTCAGTTGTTCAGTTTATAAAATTAGTTTTTGATTGGGAAATATAGGTGTCTATATAAAATGCTGTTAAAGTGGATCTTATATAAATGGATAATACAAAGTTTGGGACGAAAATTAAAGAAATAAATTTGGATGCCCTATTTACTTACCAATACAGCAGTTATCCATTACCAATAAAGTAATGCTGTTCATTCTGTATTAAGGTAGGAATCCCTTATTTGTGTTCTTTGATAGGACCCTGGATTTCTAGGGAGGAAGCACAGTGCTGTTCTGCACAGGTTTTGCATGAACTTTTAACAGCTGTGGGGTGTCCTGGCAAGCCCCCTTCCATGTGCCTTTCATCGTCTCTCTACAGAGTCTTCTGTGTTCAGGCTTATCTAAGGCTCCATTTGGTCTCACATTTTTTGCTTTCATGTTCTGCTTCCTCTTGGGTTTCTGAAAGTCCAAATGAGAATTTTTATACCCTGACATGTTGCCCTTGATTTTATTCAATTCTGTAATTAACTGCTTTTCTTTTATTAGGGATTTTCTCTACTTGACCACTTCTTTGAGTTTTGCTTTTGTTCTTGTATTCAGATGGCCTCTTGCTACCCTCCTATCTGGTATCTGCACCTATATTGGTCAGGACCCTTAGTGATCAGCTGTTAGTACTAAGGTTAAATAGACATTCTTCTGTACAGGACTTAAGATGATTTTAAAAGTCTTTCTTATTACAGGGGAACCAGCAGTTAGCGTAATGGCTATGTCGCTGGACTCCCACGTAGTCGACTGCGGTTCGTGTCCCGGACCCGGTGGCTTAAAACTCACGCTGGGCACGTGTGCGTGCGTGCCCAAGATCCCGAGAGGAGAATGGAGGAGAAGGGATTGCGGCGTGACCATCCCCCCTGGGGGGTGATTTCTCGCTTTCTGTCTCTATGTCTCTCTCTGTCTGTCTGGCGAGCGCACACGCCCTACAGTGAAAATCTCTCCAAAAAAAAAAAAGTCTTTCTTATTACAAAACAAACTCAAAACAATTTAAGTAGAGCATATTAAGGCTTTCAAATAGAAATATAAAGATACTTCATGAAACTAAAGGACATTTTTTGAAGAAGGAAAAACAAAACCTTAGACCAATGCTTTCCACATGTTCCTGAAACCCGAGTGAGAAGCTCCCTATCACTGTGGGAATTACATGTCTAGCAGATAGACTATCAAGCTCTCCATTTGTATGCATTAGTTAGTCCATGTTCGATTCCTTAGCCTTAGACCACCATCAAGCTGTCAAATTAATGATCCTCAGAACATATGGACCCGTCAGCGAGTTTTCACCAGAGATCCTAGAAGCCTTTATTGCTAATTTTTAAAATAATCAGAAAAATTATATAATTTTGTAATCACATATATTAATCATATAATTATATAATAACTTATACTTGTATGATTTGTAAGATCAGAGGGTAAATGTTAATGTTTTAAAATGCAACAATTTTGACTACAGATAATTTAATTCTGAAAATGATGAATTAAAAATTAGTATTACTTTTATAACCAGAAAGAAATCTTAAAGAAATCTAAAAATGATAATGGCTTAACTAAACCATAAGTGCTCTGTCAGTAGTACTAAATTCTAGATCTGAATTTCTTCCTGGCTCCTGCTCTTTCTAGGCATTAGTCTTGTCCATGGGCACATTATGGAGTATCTGACCTGTATCTTCTGCCACTCACAACTACCAAGAGTCTTAAAGGAGACAGTCCAATGGTTCTTATTTCTTTATGTAAATCGGTATCTCCTGAAAATGGGATGCTTTCGGTGTTATTTAGGTGAGGGGAACTTGATGGACAAATAAGTTTGAAAAATGTTGGCAATTTCCATTTGTATTTGGAATATATGATCAATAGGTCTGTTTACCACATTATTTGTTCAAGTCTAATCAACTAATTTTAAAGGGAGTTGATAGTCTCTGGGCTTACATGAGTCATAATGTAAGAGACATTCAGAAGAAACTGAGTCTGAGCATGAACATTAGTAATGTCAAATCAACATATAGGTAGTGAAGGGGTGGCTATTTGATTTTTATCTGTGATGGAAAGGAGAGAGACACAGGAAGTAATTCTTTACTTGACAAAAGAAAGACTCACAGGGGTGAGCCTCCTAAATCAGTATTGGAGTGTCCTTGAACCAGAAGTGACCTCCAGAGTTCTGCTATCTGGATTCTTCCAGAATCTTCATGACTTTCAAGTATTCAAGCCTCCTAAAAGTGGAAGGAGAGCACCCCTCCCCCAGTGTCCTGGACTCCATACTCCTGCTGGGGATAGGCTTCACACTTTTGTCTCTCTCAGGCCTGCACCCTGGCACGGCGGAATGCAGAGGTGTTTCTCAAGTACATCCACAGGAACAACGTCAGCATGCCCAGTGTCGCCAGCCACACTCGGGGACCTGAGCAGCAAGTGAAAGGTCAGTGAGCAACCAGCCAGCCATAACTCACTTCAGCGGCATGGCCTAGAGGCCAACCTCTCTGAATCATATGCTGCATACCTAATCTTCACACAATCTCAAATTTCCTGATTCTTCTGGAGAAGAAAAAGTATGATGTGGGATGGCATGGGCAGTGGTGATTCATGGTCAGTTTCTTCACATGCATCATGATTTGGAATGGAAAATAACGATAAGATATTTCCCAAGTTTTTTCTTTTTTTAAAGAATTATTTATTTGACTTAATTAATTAATTGATTAATTATTTGACCAGAAGGGATGGGGGAGGAGGCATTGAAAGCAAGCCACCAAGTCTGGGACTCACACTGTAGCCAGTCATGTGGGAGTCCAGTGCCCCTAACCAGTACACCACCTGCCGGTCCCATCCCCAGGCTTTTTCATTTATCTCAGATTCTAGGGCAGCACTGCCTAATGGAATTTTCGGAAATAATGAAATTGACCTATCTCTAAACTGTACAGTAGAGTACTTACTAGTCACACCTGGCTGTTGAACACTTGAAGTTTGACTAATGCAACTGAGGAACTAAATATTTACTGATATGTAATGTTAATCACAATAACTGCTTTTTGCTTGTTGGTTGGTTTTTGAGAGGTTTTTGCTATAGGGCGCATGTACTTTCCAGGAAGACAAGAGAGACAGAGAGACAGAAGGTGAGAAATCACCCCCCAGAGGGATAGCCACACTGCAATCCCTTCTCCTCCATTCTTCTCTTGGGATTTTGGGCACGCATGCACACATGCCCTGCATGAGTTTAAGCCACTGGATCCAGGACTTGAACTGCAGTGGACTACATGGGAGTCCAGCGACATAGCCATTATGCCAACTGCTGGTCCCAATCAATCACGGTAACTGTTAATAGCCACATGTGACTTGTGGGTAACATAACGCACAACACAAGTATCTTAGGGTACCTTACAGCCTGGAAATGAGACATGGACTGAGAATCGTAAAACCAAGTTTTGACCCTGGAGTTGTCACTTACTGCTCAAGCTTTTAAAATTTTAGTTTTCTTATTTAAAATCGAGAGAGGACATCTAGACTATTGCTACTCAATGTGGTTTCCAGACCACCAGCACTGATATCACCTGGAGCTTGTATGAAAGATAGAGAATTTCAGACTCTACCCAAACCTATTGAGGTTTACAAATCTGCATTTTGGCATTTCCCATCTATCCCACCAACCAGGTGATTTGTATGCACATAGAATTTAGGTAAGTACCATTCTAGGTAATGATTAATGTCTTTCTTAATTCTGCAAATATTCTTACTGGATAAAAACATGTATTACCTTTAAAATTATTTATTATTGGCCACACTGAACTTAAATTATTATCTGCAGAATTACTCTGACCATGCAGAAATTGGCCTTTGAATGGCTAAAAAGTTTAACACATGTCATCTTAACCAAGTAAAGAAACACAACCAAAGAGACTGGGGTTAGGGAGGGAACCTAAGCTCTCTTGCAATAGTGGAAGGTTTGGAGATGGTGGGGACAGAGTGGGGGTGCATGGACTGCTTTAGGAAGAGCTTCTGTCCCTTCTCAGAAGGCTTAAGAGTTGGGAAGATCAGCCTCTGAATTAAACATAGGAATCAAAGTTCCTAAAGAGAGGAGGGAATCTGAGTCTTTTCCAGAAGTGTCATCATTTGTGATGGATAGACCCAGGGGTGCCTGGCATTACATCAGCCTCTTTTCCCATCACATTTCAGAGCATATGTTCTGATTTCCAAAAGCAGGTGGCAGCTTGGGCGAGCCCAGCTGCCTGCCAAGAGACTGTACACCCATCTACAACTCTGGGTGCTGAAAAGTGGCAGACACCCAGACATCAGGAGGTAGAAGCCTGCATCTTCCTGGGGACAAGATCATCGCCCATATGAAATTTTTTTCTTTCTTTTTTTAAAATTTTTTAGAGAGAGATTTTTGCTATAGGGCATGTGTGCTCAACAGCAAGACAGGAAGCAAGAAATCACTCCCCAGAGGGAATGGCCATGCCACAATCCCTTCTCCTCTATTCTCCTCTTGGGATTTTGGGCATGCATGCACACGCACCTCGTGTATTTTTTAAGCCACTGGGTCTGGGATTTGAACCACAGTCGACTATTTGGGAATCCAGCAATGTAACCATTATGCCATCTGCTGGTCCTATCACATGTGAAGTTTTCAAGAAAGAGGGAAAATGAAGCCTGAAACTCATTAGGATTCTTGCTTGATTTGGGTGGATTCTCTGCATTGAGCAGAGCTCTGACTATGGACATAAAGACCAAAGGAAATAGGTTCTCACTTTGTTCTTGTCCAGTCAAAGCTCCCAACTAAATGGGGAACTATAATCCCTTCTATATCAGTTTCCTTTTCACTCACTACCTAGACCCAGTGTCACCTAGATTAGATTTTTGTTATGGTACAAACTATTGTTGCATAACAACCAAAAATTCATTAGTATAGACCTGTGAGCATTAATTGTTGAAGTGACTATGCATTGACTAGGGATCGGCTGTCTTGGATGGGCTCACCAGTGCAGGAGTGCTTCAGGCTGTGAGTTCTGGCTGACATGGTTCCATCACTACAGGTACTCTGCTCTACCTATATTCATTCTAAGACTTAGGTTGGAGGGAACGGCAGCTACCCAGAAGAACTTGCATGGTGATGCAGGGGTGCAAGAGGAAGGTCAAGTCCACAAGCTTATTTCCCTGCTTGTGTCATATCTGTTAACCTATTTGCTGAAGGAAGTCACTGGGCCAAGCTAGAGGTCAGTAAGGGACTGAAGAACTACGCTTTTCCTCTTCAGGAAGCAACTATAAAGTTACATGATAAAGACTAGATGAGAGGTGAATAATTGGAACCCATAAAACCTTTCAGAGTCTATCCTTAGACCCAAACATATAATATACTTTATATAAAAGCATATAAATCTTTTTAAAGTACGTAAAATCAGCAAACACTTCTAAGTATAAGCACTGATTGTAGTGCTTATAGGATGTGTCATTGGTGAAGCATAGTAACTTAGCTTTTTAACCCCTCTAAGCTAATCCGAATCACTAAGGACTCAGTTTCTGAAGCTGAATAAACCTGGCCTAAATCTGATCTCTACCCCTTCCTATCTGAATGATCTCGAGCAAGTTATCAATACTCTATGCCTCCGTTTCCTTATCTGTAAAATGGGGATGATAATGATATATGCATACACCATGAGGTATTGTGAAAATATTGGGTCATTGGAAAATGACCATGGCACATTTTTACATAGAAAAGCACAGAAAAATACATTATGACTTTTCTGATGACCCAATATGTACCTGTCACATAGTAAGTGCTTAATAAATATTAATTATTATATCATCACTAACGAGTACTTTATTAATATCTAATATAGTTAGCAGAAAACAGGAGGCAAATGAAATTCATTTGATTGCTTCAAGAATAAAACATTCTGTTTAAAACACTTAAGAAATATGTCTAGGGATCAGCAGTTAGCGTAATGGCTGTTGCTGAACTCCCATGTAGTCGACCGAGGTTTGGGTCCCAGACCCAGTGGCTTAAACTCACGCTGGGCGCATGTGCATGCGTGCCCAAGATCCCAAGAGGAGAATGGAAGAGAAGGGATTGCGGTGTGGCCATCCCCCCTGGGGATGATTTCTTACTTTCTGTCTCTCTGTCTGTCTCTGTCTTTCTGGTGAGCGCACGTGCCCTAACCTCTCCAAAAAATATATATATATATATAAATAGATAGATAGATAGATATGTCTATATAGCCAGCTACTCCTGGAATAACAGAGGAAGAGGGGCGGGAAATAACATGTGCTGAATCTCTACCATGACCCCTTGAGGGTCACATACTCAGTGTATACTCTCTAATTTAACATCATCAAAGGTCATTTGAGACTAACTTTCAGCTTTTCTTATGATAGGATCAAAACAGTGTGGGAGTTTGGACCTAAAGACAATATGTAGACATGATTCTGACATAGCACCTTTATGCCCACTGTTTAGAAGTATTTAAATCGAGTTCTGCTGTTAAAGTGCTGTGTACACAATCTCCTCAGCAGGGTTGAGGATGTGGCTCATGGTGCTGGTTACCCATTCAGATGCACCAGCCAACCACTTCACTGTTCATCTCCTGCCCCCTTCCCAGCAACTCCTCAAGAATGGCCAAGATCCCTGTTGAAGTCCATCTGTACTCTTTGGGCTTGTGGGGCCAATTGAGCTAATTGGTACCTATTTTAAGGACTGACACTTCTGACAATTTCTTACAACTGAGGACACACTTTGGTGTGAAGGGAACCAGGGTCACTGTAAGACAGTGGTGGCATATTCTTTCCCACTTGATTGATGGAGACTTCATCAACAGGTTCTCACCTTGGTCACCCCAATTCTGCTTCCTCTGGAAAATTCTCTCTGTCCCTAGCTTTTGCTCCCTTTCTTCCTATGCTGGATTAGTCCTACAAAGAGACTTGAAAGTCACACCTGAGCCACTGCCTGGGCCTTGGTGTTAATGCAGTTGATTTTCTGGAGCCTTCCTGTGACGAGTGCTCATTCTCTCTGTCCCATAGCCATCTTGAGTGAGCTCTTACAGAGGGAGAATCGCGTCCTGCACTTCTGGACCTTGAAGAAGCGGCGGTTAGACCAGTGCCAGCAATACGTGGTGTTTGAGCGCAGCGCTAAGCAGGTATGCCCAGAGTCTTCCCTGGCTTTGCCTCAGTTCTGGGGAGTATACAGAGGCCCAAGGGACCAATACACAGATAGCCCAGAGGCCATGGCAGCAGGCAGAACAGAGATGGGAGGTAGGGGTGAAGAGAGGAAAGAAAACAGGTGTCACTTGTCTATAATTCAGCATTTAGCAAGTACTTGACTTTGAATTTGGTACCAGGAGATGTGAGAAGATGCTAGGGTGCTCACCATGCCCCTGACTCATGGGTGATACTGAGTCTGCCTTGAAGAGTTCCCAAGTCTCCTAGAGAAGACCCCCACTTTGCAGGTGGGATGTTTCAAGTCAGGGGAAGGCCCATTCATAAAAGCATCTTCAGTGTCACATACTGACTGTTCATGGGCTGTGTTTCCTGTGTCCTTCATGTTGTCCCAGACCATAGACCTTCACTGAAGTATGACATGCTCTCCTACCGACGGTTTCCTTTTGAAGGACTGAGTGGGTCTTTCTTTACACAGGCGCTGGACTGGATCCAAGAAACAGGTGAATATTACCTCTCAACACATACCTCCACTGGAGAGACCGCTGAAGAGACTCAGGAACTGCTGAAAGAATATGGAGAATTCAGGGTGCCTGCCAAGGTAGGAAGCATTGCGATCAACCTCCCCAGTTCTATCCAGCGGTCCCCATCTGCCCAATTTCACATTACAGAAGAAGTAGGCAGAAATGCTTGGCCACAGTGGCCAGAGTGGGAAAGCATGTTAGGATTGTCTCCTTTGAAGCCTGAATAGCCAAAGAATTGTAGCTACTGGGTAGAGCAGCCATGTGTAGAAGTCATCTACCATAACTGTGCTTCCAAATTCTCACCTTCATGCCCCGGGTTCTAGAATTTCCTTTATTCTTTCAGACCAAATAAGGCAGATGGGTATACTCCTGCAAAAAAAAAAAAAAAAAAAACCACAACAACACCCAACAACAACAAT